AATCCACATTTTCTTCTCTGCGCTTTCTACTCTATGTGTATTTTCCACAACCCATCAAAGATAATCTTGTTTACTCAACAATATTGCGAGAATCGTTGTTTTTAAAGCCTCCGCAGAGATTAAACTGGATTTTCTTTTGGCAAACCAACGAAATGTGGTTCGTAACCGTCTTAACACACAAAATGGGTAACAACACTTCGTAACGGTTAACCAGGCAGCATATAACTCAAACTGAAAGCTTTTTACTTTATCTGATTAGGGGGCGAATAAATCAAAATGCCTCACACCTAAGGAAAGGCAGGGCTCTGTGGCCGAAACCTCTAAGTCGACTCGACCCAATCAAAAACACATTAAAACCAAGAGGCCGACAAATAAACAACAACAATTTGTCAAAGTGGCAACAACAATCAACGCCATTTAATTAGATGCCATTGATTAGGAGCGAAGGGAATGCGCATCTTCGAATGCATTTTTGTAATTTTTCTCGACGGCTTTTCCCCGCTCATTTCCTACCACTTGAAAACTCGTCGAGCTTGACAAATTTGACAGGCCTGATTGAAAATGAAAAGTTGGACACAAAAAGGTGCTGTTCGACAAAGGAAAGAGGCCCCGCGAAGAATCATTAAAAGCCCAAGCTTTTCGGCCCGGCCAACAAAAGAGCTGGTATGTCTTGGACATTTGAAAGTCTGGGAGTTGGAAAGCACTTTCAAAAATTAAAAATAAAATCAAATACAAGTATCGGTGGCCATACCCATACCCATCGCCTTCGATTTGGGTTTGCCGCAATAGGTGAGAATTTATGTAGATTTTTTCGCTGCCACCTGGGCTATTTGTCAACTAGTTAAGTCTTTAGTCCATGAGGGATTGACAGGCGGGCTAACTATCTAGCTGGCTAGCCTCCGTTTCAATTTGGCTTCCACCTTGCCTTGGCTGCAAACTGCAAACTGCAAAAGCCCGACTCAAAACACCAAGTCTACACGATGTTGTATGAATATTTTATGTCTGTGACGTGGCTGCCACGTAAACATGCCGCTTAGTTTTGCGGTTTCGGCAACTGCAGACACTTTTTCCAGCTGCTGGCAAATATTTGAAATATTTTGGCTAAGTACAGGCAAATTGCCGAGACAAGGAGTTCATTTTTCTGTTTTTGCAAACAACAAAATATATTGGGTAGGGGATTAATAAAATGTGATCTATTGCAATAGAGCTCAATGCGAGCTGGTAGAAAAATTAGAATCATTTGATCAATTTATTAATTGATCAACTATACACTTTCCTTGGGAACAGTGTCGAATTTCCATTTACATAAGTCCCACTTCAGTAAAGTAGAACCCATTTAAAATTGAGAAAAACTGGGCCACTAAAATATTTAAAGACTTTAACCTACTTTTAGAGGGGCGTTAAGTACCTGAACGAAAAGAACAAAAAGAAAAGTAATAGGAAATAGAAATAGAATGTGAAAAAACTGAAAACCTATCTTAAACACAATGAGCCACTGACGACGAGCCACACAGTTATGATTGTGTGCACTAGGCACATACTAAGTGGACTGCCGGCGAAAACTGGCTTCGCAAAAGGTGCCAAAAGCCAAGTTCTGCCAACTGCCAACTGCCAACTGCCTACTACCAACTGCCAACTACCAACTACCAATTGCAATGGGGAAGGTCAGTGTGCGGTTAATAGCCAGACGAAGCTGTTGGACTCACATTTAGACGAATCTACTTGAAACACCCGCGATCTGTCGTCAAATTGTATCTGAAAAAAGGGCAGTCCTATTGTATTCGTATGATAAGTAAATTAGCTTGATTAATAAGTAAGCCTTCAATCAAATCAATCACATATTGACTTCTAACACTTGATTGTCTCAAGTTTAGCAAACATTTTGATCAAAAGCTAACACTTTGCATTTTTGTGTACCTAAAAATGGTTTCTACACGAGAATTTCTCTCAGTGCCCCCACAGATTCTATATCCAAGTCGAAGTTGAAGGCGACGTCGAAGTTGAAGTTAATGTCGAGGTGGGAGCAACAGTTAGCATTCCGTCAGTGCAAGTGGCACAGCAACAGATGGCCAAGTGTCTGGGCTAACTGTTCAGCGGCATTTTACGATGGTCAAGTGCTGATGACGAGGGGGAGGGCGAGTTGGGGGGTGGAGATGTGGGAGGGCGTGGCCAAGCATTGACAAATCATCTTGACACCTTCAGAGCGTAATAAAAATGGGTTACGGACATGATTTGCAATGCAATAAACTTAATTGAGTGCGCGTCAGATTTTAATTTTAACCCATACCCCCCGAACCGCCCGAACAAACCGGTTGTTCTTCCCTCTCTCGCAATTATCGGAATTCCCACCCAACGGATCGGATCGTATATAGAATGCACAAAAAATTCCTTCAACTGTTTCCCGATTAAAGCCAATGAAAAAGAACGAGCTGCTTCTAAGGCGCGAAGTCGTAAAGCGTTTTTTGATGCCGTCATGGTTCGCTTTCGATATTCGTTTTAACGATGCTATTAAAATCGCCGACATTGTTGTCGATATATAGAAGACAGATGACAGACTTTTTCGAATTTAGTTATTGCATTATAAAAATCGTGTTAATATTTAAATGGCGCCAAATTGTTAAAAAGCGTCGCATATATTTTTGGTCATCATTAACGATGTGTTTTCGAATTTAGTGCCTTGCCATTATCATTATAATGGCTATAAAGCGAAACAGATTTTGCGAAGTGTTTACTTTCATCAAGATAGCAAGTTATAGGAAATATATATGTGATATCAATGAGCTATGTACATCAGATGCAACCTTTCCTTTATGCAAATTCATTTAATTTGCAACAATTAAATTAAGATGCAAACTAATCCCACTTAATTGCCGCCTGTCGTCAAAGTTGGCTTAATACCCGCGTAAGCTGCACTTGAAAAATGGTTAAAAAATCAACATGAATATGAATGTCTCTAAAAGTGAAGAGAAGGGTATGGAGTTGGCCAGATGCGCCGGCATTTCCGTCACTTAAGCCATGGCTTAAAATGTTTCTTCATTAGAATAAGTGTCATAAAAATAAACGCATAAAAACAGCTCACCGATAGCTGGCCATAAGCGGATCTAATCATTTTCCCATAAACAGCCGGCGATGCTCAACTAAAATCTGCTTAAATTTCACCTGACACGCTAATTTGGCTAATAAACATACGACAACAAAAAGCAGGGCTGAGAAAAAAGTGTAACCACAAAATTCGAATGAAATTTCGAAGGCGCCTGGCCGAAAATACCCAAGCAACAAATTTGTATACAAGAAAGTAATAAAATATACACAATGTATACAAATACATACGATATCTACCGACATTCCTAACCGACTTTGCTCATGTTGTTCTTGCACTTGGACTTGGGCCATAAATTCACCTCAAAACCAGTGAGCTATTTGCTTTTGAGTTATTTTGACGCCAAACCGAGACGTATTCTAATGCAAATTTTGATTTTTATTTGTTTGGGTTTTTGATATTTCCACTTCCTTCCCCTCCAACCAAAAAATAAAAAAAAACCTGCTCATCCAGCCTGGGAAGGTGTAACATTTAAATGCCGCACAAAGCTTCAAGCTCAACAGCATGGGTTGGGTGGGTCTGGTCAATTATTTAAGTTTCTAAAAACATGTGTGATAGAACGTGTTGTGAGAATTATTATCCAGGAAAAGTTCCGTATTAACAGCAAACCATAAACCAATACTAGATAATCGTAATACATAAATAACAGCAGTAGCCCAAATAAACTCGAAGTTGGTCACAAACTCAAGGATATTTAACTGACACATGTGCTAGATCAAAGCTCTAGCATAAATAGAAGATTCTCGATTCGAACTAGCCTTGGATTAAAAACCCATATACCCAATGCCAAATTCCCCAGCTTGAAAACCGAAGATTCTATCGCCATCCACAAATGTATCTCAATAGCGCCATAGAAAAGTGGCAAGTGCTTTGCGTATTTAAATTTATTGCTTAACAAATTTATTTTTTGTTAAACAAATTTATAAATTATTGCTGCGAGAGTATAATAAAATTTCATTAGCGGCATTTGCGGTCTAAGGCGTTGGCGTGGCGCGTTTCGCTGTGAACATTTACGATTTTTTATTTATTTTTGTAAATTTTTTTAACATTTCGCTTAGGGGCGCGATCACAGACACGCGGCGCCAGTTGGCCAAGAGAGATCTTTGTTTGGGCCAGAGCTGTCGGACTGGCCGGAGATTGGACAGCTCAAGCGCAGGTTGCTGATAAATCCGATGTGAGGCCTGAAAAGCTAGCCGAATTTGCATGTGTCGCTGCGACACAGAAAGCGCTGGTTAATTAATTTCAGACACGCCATACATCTCGGGTACTTTGCATAAATTAATATGAAATCTGTATTTATGATTTATGCAGTGTCAACATGGCCCGAACATCTATCAAACATTTTCCAGCGATCGCTGGTGATCGCAGCACAAAAGAAGATGTGTTGGAAATATTCGAAAATCGCCCACGCGTTTTGCACGCGACTTTGTGGCGACTTTGCGGCGACTTTGCGGCGACTTTGCGGCGACTCTGGCCGCCACATTATTTATCGTTATCCGAGCAGATTGAGGTCAGGCAGTCAGGAGATTTACACATTGTCGCATTGTTGTAGATTCTTATCAATTGTTACACGATTTTCGAATTATGTCTTGATATCGCCCCGTCGATTTTTGTACGATTTGCTGGAATGCCCATATGAATAGCCGAATTGGGTGACCACAAATATGTTGGCATAGATGTTTCCGGATGGCGAGATGATCTTGGGGAAATATTTTCACAGACCAGAGATGGTGGGAAAAACACGTACGTCATGTCTTAAGCAGAAACCTTGTATGTATTCCATAAATCTATATGAAATCGAGGCTACAAAATACTTACCTCACCCACATTCACAGCCTATGTTAGCAAAATTTCAATGCTGAATGCTGAAAGTGCTAGAATTTTGACCAAATCCCCCTTACTATTGCCAAATAAATACCGCATGTTTGTATTGTACTATATGTGTTTCATATTTATTATTTTGAATTCGTATCGTTTCATCGTCATTCGCAAATTGCTCATTGTAATTACTATTATGGTTATTGTTTGTCAGCAGCCCACCATCGTTATGATTCTGATTATTGTTAACAACGTTAATATTTTCGTTAGGGTTCTCAATATTAGGTTGTTGCTGCTGCTGCACATGTTGCTGTTGCAACCTGAGGCCACGAAGAAGTTTCTTTAGAATCTGCTCTCCGTGCTCCTCGTCGTTCGGGTAGCTATCGTCGATTATATTATTAGCATCAATATGATTGCGATTCTGCACAACAGTTTCGGTAGTAACTGTATCTGTATCTGTATCTGTTTCTGTATCTGTCTCACCTTGGGGGGTCACTGTTGTCTCAACTTGGCGTTCAGCTGAGGCAAGTTCAATTCGATCGGTTAAGTGCTTAAGATTATTGTCAATATTCTGATTGAACGCGCTGTGGCTATGGCTAGGGCTATGGCTATTTGGACTATCGAACTTAGTGCTAACGTCTAAACTACTAGAATCAGTCGTGCTACTTTTAGTATTCAAATTATAATGCTCGTTACTGTACAAGTAGTTGTAGTTTTTTGGCAAGGCAGGTATTGCATGATTAACACTAACGCTATTACTATCAATTAGTTGCTTTACGTTTACGTTTAGGTCTACATCTAAGTTTAAGTTACTATTAACATATGGTTTTGAGTATTCGTTTTGTGGGCTCTGCTCATCCTGCTGCTGCAGTCGCTGCGATGGCAGCTCAACCAGTTGCATGTCGGCATCGGGCGGACTGCTGCTGCTGCTGCTGCCACCGCCCCTTGTTGCACCTCCACCTGTTGCACCCGCACCCGCACCCGCAGCGGCAGCGGCAGCGGCTCCCGCCGAGCGTTTTCGCCTGTCCCGCTTGCGACGACTGGCCGCCATGATGGCCACCAGATTGAAGGCGCTGGGTGCCAACGAGGCGGCCGTGGCGGTCAGTGCGGTCGAGGTGGCCGTCGACGAGGAGGAGGAGGAGGACGAGGCCGAGGAAGTGGCCTTGGGCAGGTGCTCCACCCGCTCGCGTTCCCGCTCCCTGTCGCCCGCCTCGCGCTGCTCGCGCTCCCACAGCTCGCGCTGCAACTTGTGCTGCTGCCGCTCCAAGAGACGACGTCTGCGCCGCTCCATCATGGTGGCATTGTTATGATGATGACGCCCATCCAGGTTTTTGGGCTGCGGCTTGGCCATCACACCCACTGTGCCGTATTGCCGATGGCGACGGTGGTGTTGCTGCTGCTGCTGCTGTTGCTGGTGTTGCAGCTGCCGCTTCTTTTGCTGCAGCTTCCGGCGGCGATGGAGCTTGCGATTCCTCTGCAGGATCACCTGTTGCTGCTGCAGATCCAGCTCATTATTGTTGTTGTTGCTATTGGCTTGGTTGTAGGACTTAAGGCTATTGCTGCTGTGTCTGCTGATTATGTCAGGGATATTGCTCTTGCTACTATTGCTATTAATACTTGTTGGGCGACGCGATTTGGGGCGCGTCCGTTTTGTGACCTCCACTGGGCTGGCTGGTGTGGTTGTTGTGGTTGTTGTTGTTGTGGTACTGGGTGGTGGTGGTGTTGTTGTGGTTGATGTAGTTGTTGTTGTGGTCGTGGTGGTGGTGCTGCTGCTCAACACTTCTGCCAAATGTAAATTGAATTTCTCCTCATTCAAGGGAAAGAAAAACAGTATGGCCTTCTTCATCACTTTCGGCTTGGAAAAATCCTTTAGGCCAATTGGCTTAAAATTCCCCTTGAAACCCACACGCAGCACTGGATTATAGGCGCTGCTGAAGTTTTGATTGCCCATGAATATTCCCTCCTTAAAGTGGCAGTCCTTTGTGGCGTCTCTCTGTAGAATAAAAGATAATAGAGGGGAAAGAGGACTTAGTATGGACTTAAAAACATAATTAATAACTAGTTCGCCCGAGCCCAAAAACGGAAATATCAAAAAATTAAACATTTGTAAGGCGAGGAAGTAATTCATTACTTATCATAATCATAGAAACCTATTCAACTTCAAGCAAAGGTACAACTTTTATTAACATTTTGCGAAAACTCACCTTTCCAACCAGTCTGCCGTGATGGAAGCACAGATAGTAGTCTACATCCGCCGAATAGATGGTGATTTTGAAATCCAAGCTGAACACATCGTTGACAGCTTCCATGGTGAAGTATTCTATGAGTAAATAAAACAAAAAGAGATAGGACAAAGTCCGAAATTTAATTAATTATTGGCAAACAAACATGCGGTGGCTATTGTGTAAATATTTAATGGAACTGGAACTGGAACCACTTGAAGCGCCTTCAGATAACCCAATTAACTGAAAGGTTTTTGATAAAGTTATGAAGGGGCTTTTGATTAGAATGAAAGTGTGTGCCTTTTCGATGGAAGACTCGATGGAATCAATAGATCGCCCCAGTCAATTACCGGCGCTGAGTCGTTGAACTCTCACCAAGCGAAAGGTTTTAACCCTGAAATTGAGCTAGGTCTGATAATTCCGATCGAATTGGCTTGGTCTAGGGCTCGGACTCGGATCCACGGGAAAGACCTTCGAAGACCCAGCAAATCGATCATATTGCACCAGTAGCGCATGCCGCACGATAAGATAAAATACCACGCTGACCATTTGGTTTCCGTTTCACCGGATTGGGATTTCATTTACGCGTTGCGGCAGTGGATCGCTGGAAATCCCTGGGACTCATGAGTGACGCAAGGCGGCGCCTGATCTTGTCACTTTCGGTCAGTCATCAACCCACTATGAATGCTCCTGAACTTCAGAGCTCCGGGGGCTTGGAAACCGCAGCAAATGAATTTCGTATAAATTAAGAGCGGCCGGACAAACAAAACAAATACGAAACCGCAATGGGCGCCGTTCGGCGCGGTTCATAACATCAATCAAATATTAAATTACCAATAATTTAATTAAGCACACAATATGCACAGCCGCAGACGAAGATCCAGACCCAGACAGAGTTCAAGATATGTACATTGTGGTACCGGCGAGATTGGCTAGCTTTGACTCTTTCAAATGGCACAATACCGCATTGTGCCATCAAATTACAAAGTCAAACAAAAAACTCTAATTATATGACTTAAAAAAGTATTTTTTTATTTTACATCAGGCATGGGTTCACTTTAGGCTGGCCGCACTTTATCTGCAGGCATACGCATCCATAGAAGTACTGTATAAATGCCAATTTAATTTAAATGCCAATGGTAATTGATGAACGCGAGACGCCAGAGTAGGAGCCGTCCCAGTTCGCTTTCAGCTCGGAATATCTTAGTGGTACATCATATTTTAGCAATACTTACGATATGTCCGCAAAATGTTCTCGGCGGTCACTTTGCCGTGCGAATTGATGTGCAGCGCAAGTTCGCTGTGTTTGCTCAATGTTAAAACATTTTTGGCGGCGCCTGCTGGCCTCGCAGTAGCAATCACAAAACTCTGCAAGAGGGAAGAGAAGAGTGGAGAGGACCTCGATTAATGGACGATTCATCTGCATTACAGCCCCATCTGGCCACTAATCCCGTAATCCCGCCCCGAGTAACCCTTTTTGCCCCATAAATTTCCATTAATACGACGAGCCCGCACATGCGACACAAAATTTTTATGTTCAAAGCCGGGCCCGCAGGCCAACTGGCCATTATGGCGGTGTTATGGTAGTCCAGGTAATTGGTTTCCCAATGGGACATGTTGTTCTAAGCTTTGACATTCTGCAGATACGGCAAGTTCGTTGCCATGCATTTAAATTGAAAGAAAATGTCCTATTAGGGAATTTAATTGCTTGGAATTTGCCACAATGATTGTGGAATCTGCGTGTGATTTGGATTCATTTGCATGGCTCGTGGAACCTTACGAAATCACCTGACCATAGGGCAAGCTACCAGAACTATATATTTCACCACCTGACACGTGTATGTCGCATGTCCATCATTATTGGCACGTTTCCGACCTTTGGACCACCGAATTGCGACCCACTGCTCATGTGCTATCACAATCATTCTAAGATAAAGAAATATGCAAATCAGCAAATCAGCAAAGCAAACGAATGGGCCAGACATATGACATTTAAAGTGTGGCGAGTGCAACTCGAGTATTTATCGGGGCTTATAAAGAACCATCCCATACATCATCATATCGTCTATAAGGTCTGTTCACCACACGGCACCAAAAGCGACCAGGAACCATTCCTAGCTATTTATGGGGCAATGGCCAAAAATAACGCTGGACTTCGGCAGAGGGCTTAGTAGGACTTTTGGGTGTGTGAACGATGAGGTTGTGGATACAATCCAAAACAAATTGATCTAAGCACAGAGATCGACGCGTGCCGATCGATTTATCGGGACTTAACCTATCGTTTCGCGGTGTGCAAGTGGTTGACACGGCTCATATTTTCCATCATCGTTGACAGACAGACTGACAGTTTTTCAGATAGATGGATGGAAGGAGAGCGGGGCCTTCTGTTTGCACTACTCAAAAAAAAGAAAAAAATTAAAAGGGAAAAAATTGAGAATGCCGTGCGACCTTTCCATAGTTCAATGACGTTGCCCCCCGCGTGTATGTGTAACAATCATAATCATAATAATAATAATTATTATTTTTATGGGCCGCCTCAAGTGGAGAGACCCCACAAAACCGAGAGCCACTCCAATGTACACACGCTTCCCATATCAAAACTCCGAATGGCTTCGCCCCCACTCCGATTTCGATTACACACACTCAATCTCTTGAATGAATAAAAATATTTTGACATTTCTCAAGATAATTATACAGAGTGTGTTGAAAGCAAGGCAGCTTTCGATTGAGATTGAAGATTTCCAGATGGTTTTTTGGCCATCCAATAACCAAAACTGGATCAAGGCTTTGCCCGAACTATTCTAGGAAAATATTAAGTTATGCTAGCTCGCAGAAATCCCCTGCGAAAGTTATTCATAACCCATTAAATTGCTAAGATATGCAGCAAAGTTGGTCGTAAAAATACAAAATCAAAGCAGTCACAGTGGGACAAAAACTCACCATCAGTATAAAAATAGTCCTGACATTGGGCATGAACTTGTGGAACCTGCAAGTATGCGAAAAATAAGCGAGATGAGTATCAGAGTTCAATAGTATTCACAATAAAATTACGCTAGCCACTATAAATAAAGAGTTGAGTGACTCAAAGGAAAAACATTTGCATAAATCTTACAGATTATTATTAATGATTATTATTGCTTTTATTGATTTGTTTTCAGCTTTATTCGTTTTGTTTTTTGTTTTTTTTTTTATTTGCTTTCCGAGACGAACTTCCGTCTTAAACAACAATTAAGTCATTTAACGGCCGATCGTGAGATCTCTAAAAATGTATTTAAATAAAAAAATGCGGCACGTATCCATCGGATTTCCATGGAGAGCCCTTCCAGTGCCTCTGGCTCAATGTCACCCCAGCACAAGTGACCACAAGTGGCCACTCGGAAAACGCCAGAGGAAAATGTGCTTTATTTTTTTCCCCCCCTTTTTTTTTTTTTTGTTTTATTTTATCGATTCGGCCGAACAAGTCTTGCCATATTCCGCCACTGCATATTTCCTTTCCCGACCAACTAATCCCCGGGCCCAAAAGGTCATTGATTTCAGCTTAGCACTGAACTGAACTGAACTACAAAAAAGCAAAAAAAAGTTAAACAAAAAAATAAACACCGAACAAGAAAAGAACTCAAGACCCAGAAGGGTAGTTTCTTAGGACGAAGGTCTCTCTGTTCTGCGCTTGAAAAGTGAAAACGCAAAGCATCGAGCTCGAGAAATCAATATGCAACGAACGAGAGTCAAAAGTTGAAACTGCCCCAGGAGGAGGCGACTTGCAAGGGCCTTAGTGCCAAATCCCAATCCCAATCCCTAACCCTCTCAGTGGGCAGTCCCGAAAATGAAAATAAAGCCAAAAAGAACTCTGCCAAATCAAATGCCTGCTGGCGTGCGATTCTTATCATTTTTCAATTTCACAGCAGACAATAAAGTTCATTTGAAATGTGAAAACACACGGGCGTTCTCAATGAAATTTCACAATAACCGCCGAAGGAACAACATTTTTCAAATGCTTTTAGTATTCTTTTTACGCTGATGCTTGTTGGCAATTAAGTGGAGCTGAAGCTTTTGCAATTTATGCAGATCAATAGGAGAAGCTTACGAAATGTCAGTTAGCTGGGTAGTTAGACAAAAGGAAAAGGTTTTTTTGGGGCCTGGCAACCGCACCACATAAAAACCAAAACTGAAATTGAAACCGAAGCCAAAACCAAAACTTCCAGAGTTCAGAAGTTCTCTAAGACCAGACAAAAGGACCGAACGCATGAACCGCGGTTTTACAGAGAGAAAAACACAGCTGACTATCTAACAATGACAACAGTTCCAGATGAATTGTGAAATCAGAAATGGCAAATCGCTCTGGATTGCTATAATATATCAGTTCCCCCATTTTATAAACCATATTTTTCTGCGAAGAATGAAATTGTATTGCAGTGATGAAGTCGGGAGTAAATTGCCATTTTCTAGCTAAAAATATATCGCCGCTACTAGCTATGTATTTCTCGCCGTGCATCGGCGGTTCCCATGTATGTAACTCGATATCGCTCCTATGGCCAGTCGCCTCTGTCTGTGCTTCACTTTTATTCCCTTCTGCGACTCATAATTACCTTATTTGGTATGCAGACAGGAGCCCAGAACAGAGCCAAAAGGGTTCTGGTTAGTGCCCAGTTTCCTTGCCCTGAATACTGAATAGCAATAGTTTTGGATTGAGAGTTTTCCTTCGCTACGTGCCCACATTTTTCTATTTCTTTTCTGTTTTTTTGTTTTTGTTTTTGTTTTTGCTTTTGCTCGGACCACCCCAACGAGAAGCTTTCATTCACAAAGTCTCGAAATCGAAACAGTGGAGCCTCCTTTCGTAATACCAACGACGTCACGGCGACCACATTCGACATGTGCAATCTAATCGACGGCGACATTTTCAGGCCTTTAATTAGTTTGTCCACTCGATTGCATGGACTTTCGGCCACCGCCGGCTGTACACTTATAAATCTGGAAACTAAAATTAAAATTAAACTCCAAGTGCTTCGCCGCGATCGCATCGAACGATAAAATGCTAAGCAGCGGGTCTCTTTATTTTCCATTCGATGGATTCGATTGGAATCGAATGCAAACTAGTTTGGGCCTCGAATCTCCGACTCTCGAGAACGGGGCACGTGTTGGCATCTAGACATTAACACTTGTTGCTTCCAGCTCACTTATAGCCGCATAATTGTGCCCCGTAGCTTGTGCACATATGGAAACCAAATACATGTGGCATCTGCGGAATGCGCAGCCGATTAGATTAGGCCATAAAGTATTTGGACACAAAAATGAATTGGCCCAAAGATTTGCCAGATAGACCGCGGGAAAGTGATAGCATGGTGCTCTGATTGCGGGCACGTGTTGTGGGTAATCCATCGTGTAATTATGGTCCTGCAACTGCCTGGTTTTCCCTCTCGATTGCCACGTGTTCTGGTGTGAAATTTTATGCTGTCAATTGTGCGTATGATTTCGATTGTAATGACGATGGGAACGATCGTGATGACGATGATGGTGGGCACCCCTGTTTCATTTTTTTTTTTTTTATTTTATTTGGCCTGCCCGGCTGCACTTAATGCAATTTTTCCTTTGTTTTAAGGGTGGCTCGAACGGGGAACTGGCTGTTACTTAATACTCTTACATCATCCACCTTGCGCTTTTCGCCGAGCAACCCCGAGCCTCATCCCTCGAAACCCCTCAAACCCCCTCTGATTACTCCGGCTGCAACTGCAACTTTTACGTGTTTGCTCTGTGCCGCCTTAATGAAGTTCCAACTGGAAGGGTTGGATACGCAACGTACTTTGTGCCCCGAGTGCTCAACTGACTCCGACAGTTGCCAGTTTTGTGTTGCCATTGTTTTTGCAGCAGGGCGCCGAGCTGGTGGGCATTATTCGAAAATATTTATGTGTGGCATGTGCACAGCAGCGACTGCAGTTGCAACTGCAACAGGCAGTGGGAGGTGCTATTTGAATCGCATTCGGATTCGGATTGGGATTGGGAATGTGAAGTATGCATTTCAATGCGACATGAGATGTAGAACAATATGCAAATCAAGCGTTGGTTTGGATTATAAATAAGCGTTTGGCTGCAAATGGCAAAAATTTCTATAACATTATCACTAATTGTTTAAAGGCTCTTTGCGCAAGCTTTGAGCCAAACTTGCTTTCTGCCCCCCTGCCAGACTACTTTAATTAAGAGTTGAGACTTGAGATTGCTCGCAGCAAGCCAAAAACTTTGCATACTTTTGGCACCCAGAGTGCTCTTACCCATTCAACTCGCTTATTGCCCCCTCGGCCCAAGAAACCTCTTGAACTTGTAGCCACCAAAGCAACGCCCCAAATATAATAGGGCAGGGAGCACCAACACCAACCGAGCACTGGGAACGGGAACGGGAACGGGAATCCGTGAGAGTTCAGTGTACCCCAGCGATAAGCTAATGTTGTTTTCAGACCGTTCAGTAGATATACAATATAGGAGACGAATCATTCGATGTCAAGGCTGCGGGGGAGGTGGCAGAAAAGTGCTGGAATGCTGAAAAAGTCGACGTGCCGCCACACAAATCTCGCCTCATTAGCAGGCCGCCCTTCTCACCTCTGGATGCACTGGGAAAAACAGGTGATGGGTTCTTCAGTTGGCGAAGGCCCTTCTTTGTGGAGAGAAAAGTTTAGAACCAGTTAATTTGTTGCAAAGAGCTATGCCCCAAGTGAGTTGGAACGGTTAATAAACATTAATTGTTTGACAGTTGTTTTGATTGATGGTTCGCACTGAATGCAGTATTGTATTGCTAACTTTATTAATGATTATAAACATCGCGTGTTTTTGCTCGGTGTGACCACCCCCTTTTCCCCCTATTCCGACTACAATACCGCTTTATAGAGGGTTGTATCTAATGCGATTTTCGCCACCAGGACAGCTGCACCGTCGGAGGTGATAAGCGGCTTTCTGTCGTGCTCTCAGCCCTTTTGATAAGTCCGGGCTACTTAAGTGGCAGCGAATATATATGTACTTTGTTAGGCATTCAGCAACTTTCCCAAAGTGTCAACACCGCCCCAGACAGAGCGAAAGAGACGGGGCTAGGGCTGCAGAAAGAGATGGCCAGATGGCGACGAAATCGATGAGACGATGGCGAGTTGAAGGCAAACATAGAGGCAAGTGCATCCATTGAATTTGTCTAGGGCTCTGAGCGGGCTACTCAAATATGACACCTTTTCTGGAAGCAAATAATTATTGCCTTGCACCTGAACTGGGGAGAAAACGCGTGTTTCGGTTTCCATTCCAGCTAAATTGCCAGCTTAAATGGCTAAGCAAATACATTTGATATGGTTTTAAAGCGGATCGCTAGATATATCGAAATGGTGCACCTTATCGGGCGCTATGGTTCTATAAAAGCCAGTTTTACATTACTGTAAATATCTGATAACCGCCGATAGTCGCTTGCCAATAAATCACCAAGACAATAAACCGAAAAGATAAATCAATCGCTAAGCTGATTAGCGTTTGGGGGATTCAAAGAAATGCCTTTGGGGCGCAAATACAAAACTTTCTAATTCATCAAAATACTACATTCGATGCGTTTTATCTCCGATGATTTTTCATTGGACCTCCAAAAGTGGGTGTGTTTGTGCTGCTTTGTATTGGTGTTGTTATTTTCCTTTTACGAAACACTGAGCCAACAATGACAACGCCAATAAAACAACCAATGGCCAGCATTGTGGGTCAGGTGCAACGACTATCGCAGTGTGCAGCTGTGATGCCCAATGCAAATATTTGGCATAAATTGAACAATTAATCAGCCGTCCCTGTTGCTCTAAGCAAATATTTTCGGTTGCCTTTCAGGAAAGCCAACTTATCGTGGAGTTGTAAAAGCGCCAGCGAAACGTAGTAAAATTTCATAGAGCCCTTGGAGGGGCCGAACTTGTTGGTCTTCAAAAACCATGCGAAAACCAAAACAAACTATAAACACATGACGGCCCCATGGCTTTCGGTGTATTGTTATTATTTGGTATATACATGTACCTACGAGTATGCAAAGATATAGCCCACTAAGTATAAACGTAGAACGCGTAGTACGCCGTGGCGTACATTTTGAACGTGTTGCTGATAAGATAGTACGCACTCGTTTCTATCGCTTTTTTCCTTTATACATATGTATTTTCAACTGGCCAGAATTTGGCTGGCGGCTGAGATCACGGGTTTATTGGGGCTGGCTTGGCCAGATCTTGGCCACTTAGTCACTGGCATTGAGCTGATCATAAAGACATAAAGTTAGTTAAACGTATAGTTACAAATCGGTGGCGAATCGAAGATCGCCAAAAAGCCAATCGAAATATCGTGGGCTTATCGCCCAGAGTAATCCATTCCTCTCCGGGTAATACCTCCATAATCCAGACAGGGTTTAATCGTCAGGTGGTGGAAGTGTGTCCGGAATGCAGTAGCCGAATTCTCCACGCTTTTGTGTGATAACGACAAACAAATTCAGAGGCAACTTGTGACGCGGCTTTAGCGTCGGCGTGTTACTTATAAACCTCTGGATCCCCAGCTGCCAATGTGACTAATCCTTTGATACAGTTTATAAACTATATGCTGCTATACATCATCGCCGTGTTATCTCTACCAAATTGCAGGGCACTGAGCGACGTGCCTTTTGGGGACGTTTTTTAATGCTGATACTTGATTTCTAGCTGTGGCGTCATTTGTCCGAGGCACCCAATTATTTAAGCCACTTTTCGCAACCCACTTTTTGTATTTACAGCTTTTTTCAACCGCGCGTAACCTAATTATAAACCTGGATGTGACATTTTTTTTTTATTTAGCAGCTTTGGGCGCCAGCAAACTTTTGTTGGTCTGTTAATTTCCTTAAACTTTCGCATATATTTTACAACCGTTTAGAATTACCCAGGAAACTGACACGTTTATTGATAATTCAATATTTTTAATAGTAATTATCATAGGTGGGGGGTTTTGACAATTCTAGGATATGAGTATAAATTAGAATTTACATATTTATTCGTTGAACTTGGTGATTTTCCTACGAGTCATGCTTGAAAAGAGTGCTGTTAACTTGGCCAAGGTTGTCTGGCCAACTTAACGGTAACAAATGAGGCAAGATTCGGTTTCTGGGTTTCTCGATTGCATTAATCAAAGCTGCACACAAATATGTGCCGAGTCACAGACGTATTTACGATGTTTTGGCATTCGAGCTCGTGCCTTGTGGCCTAAATCATAAATTTCAATAAAATCTCGAGGGTGTAGATTAATGTATACAGTTCGAGGGGTTCCATTCGATGATCTTCTCCTAATGGATCTTCTTTGGGCCCAGAAAACACCGCTGTCGTTCGTGCTTATCAATCGATTTAGACCAAGCCCATAAGTTCTCTGCTCTCGGTTGTTATCTCAGCGTATTTCCGTTTAATTAATAAAAGGAGAAAACAAATTCGAATTATCAAATCAAATATTGTCTATTTTTACAGAAAAACGCTACGCTTATCGTCTGTCTCTCCGAAAATATTTTTGATGGGGCGTGGCACTGTTTGCCTTGTGAAGTGTTGAACTCGTTTATGATTCGGACTAAGGTGGGAATTGTGATTGAGATTAGAAACAATTACTCTGAATTAATCGTTATTAAAGGCTTTAGGTTAATGCGAGTTCCATGCGAGTTTCGCGAGTGATTTTAAACGGGGGTTGGCGCGTTTGCAATTGATTTATAACTCAGGTAAATGTCCTGATCACAGAACACGCCACAAACCCTCGAAACTTTTTCGAAAAAGGGGTTGTACGCACACAGCAGCACGGTACGCATACACACAAGCTGATTTATCCTGACAGCTTGCATGTGTTGGTGCCATAACAAGTTATAAACGGCAATTATGGACCTGAACCTGAAACTCAAACCAAAACCGAACCTGAAACAGAAACAGAAACCAAGACTTGGACTCCGACTGAACTTGGTCTTTGGCACATTTCATATTTCTTGTTTCGAACATATAATTGTGCTTTTTATGTGCGTTTGGAAATTGTTTTTTAAGTGAAATGGCGCTGCGCCTGATAAACAGCCCTCCGTCCACAATATATATTATTTTTATAGTTGCGTCTGTGTTTGTGTGGGAATTGTGCGAAAAGTAAAGGGAGCGAAGAACACAGGTCATGGTATTTGCGGATTATTCCTTGGATTGCGGATTGCGTATGGTTGGTTTGCCATCGGTTTTTTGGTTTGGGCATGGCGTGTTCCACTCTTTTTCCTTCGCACGTGGTTGAGGAATACTCACTATTGTAGGAAACATATTTAAATAAGAAAGATATTTAATAGTTCATCTTAAAATCGAACCGAAAAGTAGTATTTAAGGCAACGAGAAAGAACCTCCTCATTTTGTAAAAAGTACAACCTGCCAAATATTTCATACTTTAAATAGCACGCCATTTTGGTTTACTGCCTCATCCAATCAGCCCAATTTCCATAGAACGACTTTTATAAATTTACCATAACTATAAAACTTTCTGACAAATCCTCATAAAAATATATACCACATATTCTCGGAAACATTGCGCGATTATTGGGATTTTTAGGAAATTAAATTTTAATATTGCAAAAAGTTGAGTCACTCTCAGAAATAGTTTCAAAACTTACATCGTATACTTTTGGCCGCATTGTAGCCCCCAAATTTAAGGGTATAAATTATAATCCAACATGGGTTTGTGCGTAGTATCGTCGCGAGTCTATCATTTGACTGACGAAAGAGTTTTAATTTTCTGCTGAGTTTGGAGTCCGAGCGGAAATTCAGAAATCAGAAGTTTCATAAACTCGCATATGCATATAATCTGAATCTGATACTTTGGGCAGACAAGCAGCGTCAACAAATTTACAATTACACCGCAAAAAAATGCAATCAAATACGAGCGTTTTGCTGGGTCTTCAGTTTTTGGTTTTTGTTTTCCGTTACTCTGGCAATTAGTATTATTTCCACCGCACTTTATGTTATGTACATGCAATATATTGCCTTGATTTGCGTATTTTATTACTTTTGATTAACAATATGTAATTGGTTGTAATAAATATATTATTATTGGGTGTATATACTTGTATTGCACTTTTGTCAACAGCGAGGCAGCGATGACACGATATTATTAGTTGTATTTATTCGAATATATCTTTTGTGTATTCTCGCGTTGCACAAAATTTCATTTATTTTGCGTTAACTTTTTGCATTTTTTGCACTAGCACTGGGTCACTCGAAAATATTTATTTCGCTTGTGTGTTTTTTATTTTTTAACTGGTTTCGGGTGTGCGATTTTTAAAACAAAATCAGTATCTGTAGCCGCGCAATGCACTTTTCACCTCTGGCTAATTAATCTGGCTCGAACGCATCAGTTGCTCTCGATTGTGACTTGGAATTTTTCAAAAATATTTTCCAAGGCATTTGGTGCTGGTTGTCTGGAACGACTTTGGCTATCCGTTGCTTCCGCTGGCAGCGATCTACAACCGACGAAAGGTGAAAAGAAACTGAATCGAAATCTGAGCGTCGTCGAACATCGAGCTGTAGCGTTTGTCGTCGCCTCGAACCGAACCGCCACCGACGCCGACAAGCCGACAAGCCGACAAACCGACAATCCGAATCCGGCCAACCGCGTTCGTCCCGCGCTCGTTTCCACTCGCACTCGCACTCGCTCCCGCTTCGAACCGCCCCCGCCCCTTACCGCCACCGCCGCCCCCACTTCTCCCCTCCCATTCACAGTTTGTCGTTATAAATTCTTCGACTCGAGCAGACATGTCCATGTGGGTGATAGATGCCTCGGCGGAGGAGAGGCTGGTCCGGAATTCCTCGCCGCTTCCCTCGCTTCCTTGCAGATCGCATGGACTCGCTCGACTCCAAATTTTCCAAATGGGGCGGTTTGTTCTCAGGGGGTTCTAGGTTCTAGGTATTATATGTGCCGTTTTTTGGGAGGTCCATATATTTGCGGAATTACGAAGATTCAATGTTCTTACCACTTTTTATTGCACATCTGCTATATATTCTCTACACTATATAGATTTTTTTATTACCAAACACAGTTTTTAATGAGAGTTTATCAATCATAAATATAGCGGGAAGAAATATATGTATATATATGTATAAATATGTATAAATTCCTAAATTCCTTATAATATTAGTTAGTTTTAACACTACGACTTAAATTTTATTTTTAATTAAAAATCCTGAATATGGTTTCTAATGGCCTAATAATTTATTTAGACCACAAGCAAAGCTCACCTAACTCAGTGATCATAAATAAGGAGACCGACCCGCTTGCGTTTGTCATTCCTTGAAATGCTTGCTCCATTTAGGAAAACTGGGTCTCCCGGCCAGATAATGATCTCTGGGTGGCGTCCACCTGCTCCACGTAAAAAAAAAGTAGTCACCCACCCAATTGCCGAATACCGAATGGTAGACGATATTGGGCAAGGTCCAGTTGGCGAGCCATTAGCAAAGTTGCCCCTGCGTTTTGATATTGATCGATTAGCCAGCCAGTTGTATCAGGCAGTTTTATTGATCATGCTGTAAATCAAATTGTGTGTGTAGCCAGCGACCCAGAAACAAAGCACAAATCGTACAACGATTAAATTAAGTAATACTTATTTTGGTAACAGAGAGCAGGAATAAAGAGATGTAAGTAAAAGGTTTATCAAGAATCTCGGGAAGTCTAAGAAAATAATCTGGAAAGTTGTCTTGATCACGGGGAGGTGGACATCAAAGTAGAACCAGTAAGCGAATGCATTATTCCTCAGAAATGTTTGGAAAATAAGTACGTCAGCATCCCAATGATATTACCAAAGGGGAACTTCCCCCGAAAACGAGAACAACAACCCATGTGGACTTTGCTCATGTTTCAATTTCCAATTAACTCGTTACCTAGATAACTGCACAAGTTTTGTGATAGGTTCAATTAGAGCACTAGACTCTTCACAAAAGATCTGGCCATGAATGAAGTGAATCTGCTTCAAAAGAAATACAGTAGCATACTGTTATCAAAAATACCAAAGTGATCACGAATATTCGTCGGTGTCAGCTATTTTGCTTACGTCTTCTTAGTTATGCCACAAATTACGCATAAGCAAAATATGAATGCTCTAGAATTCCGTTGATATGCGAAAAACATGATGAAATGACAGAGTAATGGATATGATCGTTCCATTTGCTTATGGCGCCCCATAATAGTGATGAAATTGATAAATGAACTTAGCCAAGCTTTTATATCCGATAAAATCGTTGAAAATCAGTTAACATGCTTCTTATCGCATCTTTCGAATTTCCACCCATGTACATTTAACAGCACGAACTTGTTGCGGCTGAAACATGTTGCATGCTCTGCTAACCAAGCGGACTTTGTTGAGTACGTAGCTCTGTTATTCTGCAAGCAGTGCACTTCACCCGACGTCAAGCAGTGTGTGTACAAGCCAGCTGTTAGTTGAGGTCTTTAACATTTTGGTTCGATGTCGAACTTGGCATGCAACATGAATTTAGGGGTGAATAGCAAGTTCTTGGAATAATCCAGTACCCATAGAAATAAAGTTTTATTTTACCTATATTAAATATCTTATATAGCCTTAAAGCAAAAGCAAGTCAAACGTTTGAAAAACTATTTCTTGGCTCTTTTCAAATTTCAGTATGTTCACATTACTTTTGTATCTGTGAAATGCCATATTAATATCTTATTTTTTATCACAACATTCGAAATAATTGTCCAAATATGGAATGTCATACATCGTTGAGCTTGTTATTTAAATTCCAATCGATGTGAATTCAAAGTTTGGAAATTTAATTTTGTGCCATTTTTTGCAAATTTTGATGATGTTACCCCTTACAAAATAGACAAAAATTCGGCCAAAAATAAATTTTTCAAAGTCCATCAAAAAGTGATAGCGATAGTTAGTATAGGTAATTAGGAGTAAAAAACTGTAATTCTTTTAGTCGTGGGACCATTTTTGACTAAGTTATGCAGAAAAGACGCATCGTAAATATTGAGTTTTTGAATAAATTGGATTCTATGATTTTTTTAATATATAAATTCAGTTTTTTTATCACAACATTCGAAATAATTGTCCAAATATGGAATGTTATACATCGTTGAGCTTGTTATTTAAATTCCAATCGATGTGAATTCAAAGTTCGGAAATTTAATTTTTTGCCATTTTTTGCAAATTTTGATGATGGTACCCCTTACAAAAAATGCGAAAATGGACCAAAAAATTAATTTTCCCAACTCGGTCAAAAAGTGATAGCGATGGTTAGTATAGGTAATTAGGAGTAAAAAACTGTAATTCTTTTAGTCGTGGGACCATATTTGACCAAGCTATGCAGAAAAGACGCATCGTAAATATTGAGTTTTTGAATAAATTGGATTCTATGATTTTTTGAATAAATAAATTCAGTTTTTTTATCACAGCATTCGAAATAATTGTCCAAATATGGAATGTTATACATCGTTAAGCTTGTTATTTAAATTCCAATCGATCTGTATTCAAAGTTTGGAAATTTAATTTTTTGCCATTTTTTGCAAATTTTGATGATGTTACCCCTTACAAAAAAGACAAAAATTCGGCCAAAATTTAATTTTTCAAAGTCCGTCAAAAAGTGATAGCGATGGTTAGTATAGGTAATTAGGAGTAAAAAACTGTAATTCTTTTAGTCGTGGGACCATTTTTGACCAAGTTATGCAGAAAAGACGCATCGTTAATATGGAGTTTTTGAATAAATTGGATTCTATGATTTTTTGAATAAATAAATTCAGTTTTTTTATCACAGCATTCGAAATAATTGTCCAAATATGGAATGTTATACATCGTTGAGCTTGTTATTTAAATTCCAATCGATCTGTATTCAAAGTTTGGAAATTTAATTTTTTTGATGATGGTACCCCTTACAAAAAATGCGAAAATTGACCAAAAAATTAATTTTCCCAACTCGGTCAAAAAGTGATAGGGATGTTTAGTATTGGTAACTAGGAGCAAAAAACGGTAATTACTTTAGGCGTGTGACCTTTTTTAGACAAGTTATACAGAAAAAACTATTCGTAAATATTGCATTTTTGACTAAAATCGATTCCCAGTTTTTTTGTATTAAAAAATATCAGTATTTTGGTCAGAGCACTTGAAATAATGATCCAAATGTTGAATGTCATACCTCTTTGAGCTCGTTTTTTAAATCCCAATCGATTTGGATTCAAATTTGGGAATTTTAGTTTTCTTACATTTTTTGCTAATTTGGATGATGGTAAATATCATGATGCTTAAATATGAGGCTAATTGATAAGCAGCACAGCGTGCGAAAAATACTCTAGCTGATTAAACCTAAGCTATTTTATTAATTTATATTAATCCACCTCTTTGGCCGGTCAAGGTAAGTGCAAGTCGTCTTACCCAGATTGTGTTAATAAAATTAAATTAAAAATTAAACGCAACCGCACAGAGAATTCCAAGTAGCCATAACTGCATAATCACAGATAGGATTCTCATTGTGCCACTGCGGTCCTTATATCATTTATTTTTTTCTTGGCCAGAAACAGCGGGGCATAAAGGGCATTGGCGCCATGTCGCGTCACAGTGAAAAAATGGCAAACGAGAAAAATGTGTGAAATCTTCACGACTGCGGAAAACAAAGGAAACGGATTCAAATATTTATGGGGATGTCAGGTGTCCTGACAAGTCAATTT